TTTCAAACCTGTAAAGTAGAGATGAGCATGGGAACGGGAATCACAGGAATCCCATGGTTTCCATAAGATTCCTTACCATTAGAAATGGTAAAACTTAATTTTCGGGAATGGGAATTTTAGGGAATAGAGAATCGCTGTTCAGAAATCGGAATGACGGGCGGGAATGGGAAAAATGACATATGCATGCGAAAATAAAAACTCATATATATATATTTATTTATTTATTTATTTATTTATATATGTACATTCGTACACATGTGATCGACGCATAAACATAGTCACACACGTGCGCGTTAGCAAAGATGATAACCACTATGAAATCACGTAAAATCAACAAAGCTCTAAAGAAATTTACTATTAATATACATATAAATTGCAGAAGCTGTCCTAATAGATATCAATTAACCTTAAAACATCTAAAAATTGCAGAAGCTGTCCTAATAGATATTAATAATTATATCACATGTATAATAGCTAAAATTCCCACCTCCAATTATATATCTTAGCTTGACAACTTAAATGCATGTACTATTGCCATAAACAATTGGCATTTATCAAACTTTCTTTAGCTAAATCCCCCCAAATCTGAAGTAATATTTCTTGGCACTCCGCAACAGGTTATCAAATGTTTCCCCCATCACACATTTTATTGGCTGATTCTTCTCTCTCCTCAACTTCTAAATTTAAATTTTAAGGTTTAACTTTTGACTCTTCTCCATATTTTAATTTTCTTGTCTTAGCTTTGATCAAATCTTGTAACTTTTATACGTGGACAATTCGTAATATTCGTAAATTTTTCATTGAAGATATTGCTTCTGCACTGACTCGTACTGACACGTTTAGATTATTGTAATTCTTTTCTTTACGGTTTTCTTTCCTACCTTTTAACTTTACTTCGAAGTGCTCAAAATAAAATTGCAAAAGTTGTTTTAAATATCAGTAATTCATTAGCACAGATTCACTCATTCACCTAGATTTGTTACCATTGCGTTAACGTATTTTATATTTAACGTATTTAAATATATTTAAGCTCGCCGTCTTCACGTACAAATTATTAAAAACACCTTACCATCATATCTTCATCAACTTATATCTCGTCGTTCATCAACTCGTCAATTTTGTTCGTCTTCATATACTCAGTTGCATCAACCTGTCGGCAATTCATCAGTAGTCAACAAATGTTTTACATATAGCTCTCCTTCCATATGGAATGGTTAGCCCGCCATAATTCGTCACCAACCAACGAAAACTTTTGAGGAAACGATTAAAAAACTTTGTTTATCCAGGCCTACGGAAACGTCATAAGTCATTGTTTATCTAAGTGTCTCTGAAGCTATGCATAGGGCGTGATATAAATTAATAATAATAATAAATAATAATAATAATAATAATAAACCCAAAATAAACATCCAAAAAAGAATGATAACTTCATTACCTACTCGGCACCCTAATACTAACTTCAAAAACAACGAAGAACAAAGGAATGACAACAAAAAAGATGAAGAATACGACACCAACTAATAAATATTTTTAAAAAATCTAAAAATTGAAGAAGCTGTCCCAATAGATATCAAGAAACCCCAAATAAACATCCGACAACAAATCATAACATCATTACCAACTCGATGCCTTAATACTAATTTTAATTACAAAGAAGAACAAAGAAATGACAACAACAAAGATGAATACTACACCAGCTAATAAACTTTGCTAATGTAGCTAAAAATTTCAGAAGCTTTCCTAACCTCACTTAACCTCCAACAAACATCTAACATCATTACCAGAATCATTACCAACTCGACGCCTTAACACTAACTTCAATAACAATGAAGAACAAAGGAATGGCAGCAACAAAAATGAGGAATACGACACAAACTAACAAACTTTACCAAAGAACATTGCATGGTTTAAAGAAACTATATAAACCAAACCTGCGCTGAAGATGATTACGAAAAATCGAAATAAGGCCTTATCTGCACGATGAATTCGGATAACAACAGTTTCATTAAATTTTTAACAAATTGAACAATTTCCAAAAAATTCTTGTAAAAAAAATTGCAAAGACAAACTTTAAATTGATTAATGCCAACAATTCGGTAAAATTAATACAATACTGTATATTATATATATATATATATATATATATATACAATATTCTGCATACCTGCGGCCTGGAATAAATGGCATCTCCTTGCCTCTATATTAACGCGGCGTGACATCCCACTACCATTACGATCAAGACTTTATAAATCTGTGATACGTCCGGTGTTGTTATATGGTGCAGAAACATGGCCAATGACAACCAAACTGGAACAACAACTTCAACAAACCGACATGAAAATGCTCCGATGGATGCAACGAATTAGTCTAAAGGACCACATCAAATCTACCGAAATCTTGCGTCGTGCTGGTTTAGATGATATAAAGGACGAAGGCCGGCAACACCATCTGCGGTGGTTTGGTCATGTCAAACGAAGTGGAAACAGTGTCATAACTTGTCTTGCAGATGTTGAAGTACCTGGCACACGTCCCAAAGGCCGTTCAAAGAAGTCCTGGTCGTAAACAATCGAGCAAGACATGAAAGCTTTAAATTTAAATAAAATGGATACAACTGATCGTCTAATTTGGCGAAAAAAGTTGATGGCAAAGAGAACAACGTCCTACCTCGGGAAACCGGGTCTCTGGACGCAAAACGAAGATTGATTGAATATTCTATAAATTCTATCAAATGTTTGGCGTTAATATGTTTGTAGTTCGTTTTTTCAATTTTTCTCACTTAAGTTTTTTGGTGAACGTTTAGTTTATTAAAATTCAAAATAAACAGAATTTTAATAAACTAAACGTTCACCTAAAAACTTTAGTGAGAAAAATTGAAAAAACGAACTACAAACATTAGAATTTATAAAATATTGTAAAAATTATGGTCTATTACCAACATATATATATATATATTTATATTTATATATATAATATATATATATATATATATATATATATATATATATATGATGTATACTCGTACACATGTGATCGACACATACAGATAAGCCATTAAGCCATGGTCTCCTAAATAATATCCTACTGGTCGAGAAACTAAATGAAATTTTGTGTGTGCTCGACCCAAACTGAGGCCATGCTTGTTTGATAAATAAATGCTACTCGCTATATTAGTTGCTGTTGTTTACTTTAGAACGTTTTGATTTCGTTTATCAACGCTTGTATTGATTTGGCTTTTTATTTCGCTGATTTATTTAAATATTATAATATATATAGTTATTAAAAATATTTTATTTTAAATAATTAAATTCAAAATGGTTAATAAATGTTGTGTTTATGGCTGTAAATCTGGGTATACGTCAGAAAATCGTTCGGAGTCTGAGATTACCATTACGGATAAATAGAAAATCACGTTTCATAAATTTCCAATTGATGATGAAGAATTAGCAAGAAAGTGATTGAAAAATATTGCGAGAAAACATTTTCATCCTTCGCAACATACCAGGGTTTGTTCGAAGCATTTTACTCCAAATGATTTCATCACATCATCTCAGGACAGCAAAGTCGCTCGTCAACGCCGAAACAACAAGGATACGTTTTTGATAAGTCTTAAACCCGATTCGGTTCCAACTATTTTTTCTAATCATTCAAAACATATGTTGTGTGAAAAAACTACATCAAGATCAGGTAATGCGCTTCGAAGCAGTAGGAATAATAAAGAAATGGAAAGACTCGGAGAGTTGGAAAGAAATTTTATGGAAGAAGATTCAATCATAGGTCTGAATCTTGAAGATATTAAAATGAAATTAGAGAAAGAAATAACTTTTTCTACTGAATTTATAATTAAATTCATAGACAACAACATGATGTTACTAATAGTAAAGGTTGATGAAGATCATCATTTATCTATTAGTTGTTCAATATTAGTGACACCTGAGTTTCATTTGTTTGTAGAAGTGTGTGGAGAAGCTATCCTGCAAAAAATTATAATGATTTACTGCAAGGAAAGTTAACCAAATTTTCTCAATTGTTAAATATTGCTGCAGGATTCAAAGCCATCAGTGAATGTGACAGACCGATATCGTGGGACATTATTCTCACAAATATTGCTGCAAGATTCAAAGCCATCAGTGAATGTGACAGACCGATATCGTGGGACATTATTCTCACAAATGGAATCAGTAAAATTGAAAAATGTTTAGACCTTATTGATGAAAGCTCTTTGGATAATGATGAAATAATTAAAATGATATCATTTTTAAAAGAAGAATTACAATTAGTTTTAATTAAAAAGCACAAGCGATATTCATATTTGATGAAACAGGCCTTTATTCTCATGTCAACTAGTACTGCAGGTTATCAGTACCTGTATTCATCAAAATTGCTGTGCTTGCTATCATCAAAAACAATGATATTTTACTACACAAATTTCTCTCTGTTTCAAACCAGCAACAATTGTTTGGTGATATTGTAAATAGATTTAATGACAATAATGACTTGGAGAATGAATTTCCAGAATTTTGCACCACAGGGCATGATCTCAAACAATTAATTTCAAATGTATTTTTTAACATTGTTGCAAATAATTTAATTAAATCAATTACAGAAAATGCAAATGAAAAAAAGACTATTAATTATAAAAAAAGAAAACTTTGTAAATTACAAAACATTTGAATTTATTTTCATAATTATATTTTTTTGCAATGAATACTGTTTTTATTTTTTAATAAATGTTTAAAATATTTATCGTTTTAACATTTTAATCGTTTGTTCAAAGTATTAAAATTTTTAAATGTTGCAGAATTAAAGACGTTTCGTCGTTTACTTTATGTGTGTAGTATAGAATGCATGGCCTCAGTTTGGGCATGTGTAAATTTCAGTTTCTCGTCTAGTATCTATTATTTAGGAGTCTATGGATAAGCACACATGTGCGTTAACAAAAAAGATAACCATGTGAAATCACGTGAAATCAACAAAGCTACCAATATAAAGAAATTTCCTTTGCAGCTACGTTTATGGTATTTGGTTAACAATATCCTTCAGTTTTCCACATCGATTTGTCTTCGGAAATTTGTTAGTTGAGTTGCATTAAACTACAATAAAATTAGTAAATTTAAATTTGTTAATGAATTTTGCAATATTTGCTATATGTTTTCAACTACTTCAACCGTAACCAAAATTGATATATTTATTTATATGTTCGTTAATTAAAGCAGTGCACTTTTTTGACCAAATGTTTAGTTTAAATTTTAAAGTTTTTGATTTATGTTTTATGACTTTTTAGAACATTTGAATTTTTACCATTGTTTGGTAATAAAGACGTGTTTGTAAATTTGCTTTTCCAAAAAAAATTTTGATTTTTTGTTCAAAAATTTTGAAAATGGAAAAATTTGGAAACGGGAGAGAATGGGAGGGAAAACACGGGAATGAGTTAAAAATAAAGAATATGAATTTTCGGTACCGTTGTCATGAATGGGAATTTGAAAGGAGATCGGGAATGAGAAAAAAATGGAATTTGGAACAAATTTCAATTCCCGCTCACCTCTACTGTGAAACAAGTTGCAATGATATCGCGCAACGTTGTTGTTGTTATAACAATAGCCACGATGATGTAACGGATTTTTATTTTTACCGTTTTTCAGCAGAGTATTAAAAATGTAAACATCTTCTTGTATGAACCAATTCCGAGACTCGATAAGATATAAATGGCAAAAAAATACTTTTTGACTGTTTTAAAATGCGACAGTTTTAATTTATTCACACTTACACGATCATGAATAAACAAAACAAGATTTAAAACATCAGAATTAGAACAAACAATTAGAATAAAATATCACATCAATAACAGCATACTTTTTCAACGTTTCAATGACCAAATTTCTATTAAATTAATTGAAATAATTATGAGTCTGGTTGATGATTCTTACAACTAACCGCTGTTGTCAATATGTCTGAGAATGTGTTGAGCTTCTTCATCGCTTATCATGTTACCTAAATCTTTCATGACTTTTTGAATATCGGATGGAGTGATATCACCACTTTTACTCCGGTCAAATGATTTAAATACTCGTTTAAATTCTGTTTTCAAAATTATTTGAGTAACATCAAAATGAAAAATAAGCTAAAATATAACTTTTCAACGAAAAGTTAAATAATTCAACATAGACTACCTTCAATTTCTTCACGGGTGAAATGGCTTTGATCCTGTTATTGATTGATTTGATATTTTCATCATATCAAAATGAGTTAATGTTAAATTGATAACAACAAAATTTATATAATATATATAATTAACGTTGAAGATCTAGGGATCCATACTAAAAGAATTTTACTTAATTATAATATTGATAATACTTTAAATAATATTACTACTGCTATTACTATTACTAATACCACTCTTACCACTAATGGAAAATATTCATCAATTAAAAAATACATTTTTTAAGGTATAAAATATTTATAAAAATATAAAATACTTCTTCTACTACTGCTACACTGATAGTAAATATAATGTTAATGGTAATAATTGTATCGATTGTTATGGTGATATCGATGATGATTATAATATTACTAATAATAAAAATAACACTTTATATCTGGACAATATTCTTATATATATATAATAGAGTTCGGCATGTAACAACTAAATTGTGTTGCTCTGAAAAAGAGAAACGATTTTATTAATAAAAAATAATAAATTAATTAAATCAATTTAGCCATAATTAAGTAAATGTCGTACCTGAAAAAGAGAAACAACAATTAAAGCTATTACATATAATAACCAATATTAACTAAGAGCTAGAAGAAATATTCAAAATATCCAAATAATTTCAACTCAAACAAAAACTTAAATTTAATCTGTCAAACGTTTCACAATTTACACAATAACGTTGTACACCATAACTCAATTCATAATGAAGTGGAAATCCTTCATTACATATATATAAATATATATATATATACATATATATATATATATATATATATATATATATATATTATTGGTAAACCATTACCCGCCATAGGCCAGACGTACGTTTCGTCTCTCACGGGATTCGTCAGTAGCCTGCCGAATAAGGTTTAAGATAACACAACCCAAATATTGTAACCAAGAAATTCAAACTGAGGTGTCGCGACTAATAGGTAAGAACAACATTGCGTTGTTACAAGGTTTAAGAACCCATTCAGTAGTAAGAGGTATTATTGTTAAACCATTACCCGCCATAGGCCAGATTTACGTTTCGTCTCTCACGAAACTCGTCAGTAACCTGCCGAATAAGATTTAAGATAACACAACTCAATTATTGTAACCATGAAACTCAAATTGGGGTGCCGTGACCAATAGGTAAAAACAACATTGCATTGTTACAAGGTTTAAGAACCCATTCAGTCACAAGAGGTATTATTGGTAAACTATTACCCGCCATAGGCCAGACGTACGTTTCATTTCTTCCAAATACTGAAGTGAAGTAACAGTTTCGATCCCGGTAATCGTATCATTATATGGACTCCGTTGTCGCGGGTTGATGCAGGCGGGGCATACAAAATCAGTCACTTTCCTCAGTGAGCCGGTAATTCTCGAGCATTGTCTGTGACACCACTGCTGACATCGTAGGCATTTGATCGAGTTGCTTCCAACTCCAGCCCCACACACCGAACATGGCCATTGACCAGAGACCACAGGCTCAGCGGTACCGCCGGTGATCATAGTTTTTGTTTTGTCAAGGTTTACCTTTAGCCCGTGTTCGACAAGCTGGATATTGCAGACCTCTAACTTTCTGACTGCGTCTTGTTCCAAGGCCGCTGTCTAGACGATATCATCTGCATATATCACATTTCATATGTTACCTGAGTGTATTGGTTTGGTTATTTCTTCCATCACCGTGATGAAGTACAGGAGGCTGAATATTGATTCCTGATAGACGCCGACGTTAATATCAAATTTAGTTGTGTTACCAGCTGTTGTGCTGACCAGAGTTTTTGTGTTAGAGTACGTTGCCATAACTAGCCGAACCAGATATTTGGGAACAAGCTGTCTATGTAGACTCCGCCTGATTGCCTCCACTCTGTCAAAAGACTTTTCCAAGTCCACAAAGACTTGGAACAGTTGACGAATGATATAAATAAAATCAATGGTGAATCTCTCTGCCATGAAACCGTACTGGTATTTACCTATTGAAACGCACGACAACAGTCTTCTATCAATGACTTTTTCAATAACTTTCAGGGGGCGTTCCAGAAGACGTATACCCCGATAGAAGGAGCATTTCAGTGGATTTCTTTTTTCTTTTTATATCGAACACAGTTGTACTACTGTTCCATTCCACTGATAGTATCGATTAACTCCACATATCCCGACAGATGTGTAAGATGGCTCTGAAGCCTGCCCCACCAGATACCTTGCAAGTCCAGACGGACCAACCACTTTACCCACTTTTATTGCCTTCAGCACATCCGTTAGCTCTTCATCTGTGATACCCTGAATAGGTCCTTCTACCGGAAGTGCATCAAAGTCCATCCCAACTGGGTTTGTTTCATTCAATAACTGATCGAAATAATCCTTCCAGTGATCCTTTACTTCATTCTGCAAGGTTATGGTGCCTTTATTATTTTGTATGCATGTGGCACCAACTATATCCTTTTTCAGTTTTGTCATAATTCGCTATTCGGTAGAGTGACAGAATTTGTTCACCTTTACTTCCAGACAGCCATACCTTGCATTGATTTGCACGAGCTATCGCAACCTAACATATCGCTTCTGTGTTCTTTGATCGATATGTCTTTCGATCTTCATCAGTCTTCGTCTTCTATCATTGTTTGAAACTTTCTTACTGGCAATAGCATTTTGCACCGTCTTGTTCCACCACCAAGTTTCGCGGTTGTGCTGACGTTTTGATTCAGATTTTCCACATACAGGTGTTGCAGCTTTTACTAGGGTGTACTGGAAAAATTTCCAGGTTATGTCTAACTTCTCCAGACGATCCAGCTGTGCCGATATCAAATCCTCGAATTTCTCCCTGAACATGAGATTTTTCAGTTCCCATGTCTTTATTCTAGTAGGCATTCGATTAGTTACAGGGCATGATCGTTCCATGATCATATCGGCCACCAACAATCGATGTTGAGGGATGCATGCTTTGTCTGGAATGACTTTTATATTCCTGAATAGTCGTCTGTGTTGTTGTCTGACGACAATAAAGTCAATTGTGTGCATGAAATCCCGTTTTTATATGTGATCAAATGTTTTGCCGTCTTCTTGAAATAAGTGTTCAACAGGGAGAGTTTATGATTTTCAGCAAATTCTGGAATGAGTACACCGTTTTTGTTTTGAGACCCGTAGCCAAAGCTTCCATGGACACCATGGAACCCATTTGCTTTATTTCCAACATGACCGTTGAGGTCGCCACATATCAATGGTATTTCTGATAAGGGTGTTTTTCTGACGGCATCTGAGAGTGTGCTCCAAAAGTCATTTTTTATTCACCGGTCTCTGGTGCATATGCAGAGAAAACAGTCAGGACCTGTTTTCTCTTTCTGGGTTTAATCAGCATTAGACGTGGGCTGATTCGAGTCACCTTCATTACATTTTGTGCCAGTAATTCCCGTATGAAGATTCCCACTCCATTTTGGGCTGTCATTTGGCCATTCTAGAACAACATGTAACTTCCAATAAGAGAAACCCTATTTGATTTCTGTCTTGTTTTCTGCAGAGAACAGATGTTAACCCTTCGCCTTTCCAGCATGTCGACGATCTCCATGGAGCGTCCAATAAGCGATCCAGTATTTAAAGTGCCAAGTCAGATATTCCAGGAGAGGACGTTTGATTTTCCCAACATCCCTCTACTGTTGCGTACTTTCTTGATATTGTCACTCCTTGACCATTTAAGGTCTTTCAGGGAATAAGGGATCTTTTCTTTTTTTGTGATGACATGGAAGATGTTTGGGTCAAAAAATTTTTTATCTGGAATTGCCCCATTCCTAACGACAACCACCAGTTATAAGCAGTGGGTCAAACTATGTACAAAATGGCGACACGAACGGTTGTTGTGAGCGAAGTTCTCTATTTTTTGTCGAACAATTTTTTAAATTTTAAGAGTGAAACATTTATTTGCAATGTATCGGAGTTTTATTCTAATGACGATTTTGCTATTGCTTTAAAACTACTGAAAATTGAATTGGATAATTTAAAAATTGATAAATTTGATGATAAATTTTTTTCACGGTGTCTGCATAGGCGTGATAAATTAATTGCTTGTATTACAGTTTTTAATCATTTAAAAGTTGAGAATTGTCTAGATAAATGTCCCATGTTTGCAAGTGTAAATTTGACTAAAATTCCTCATTTTAAAAACGTTATTAAATTAAATTTCAATACTTTGAGGGAAGAGATAAAGGACATGATTTCTAGACAACAGAATAAAATGTTGCAAAGACTTGATGTTCACAGCATTGAAATATCCACACTGAATGAAAAAATAAACAAATTACCTTTTAATAATTCTGTGTGGGCTCCTTCTAAAATGAAAAAATGTTCAACTCCTAGTGAATCTGAGATCAGTTTACAAAAACCATCTGTTTCTAAACCCTGGGTGGGCATTCCTATTTCTCAGTTATCTAATTCAGATAAAGATGTTAAAATTGAAAGTAACTCAAATCTAGATTCTGTTTCTCATGTTGATAAAATTGAATTTCCTAGTTTAATTCAAGATTCCAATAATAATATGAACTCTGGTGCTGAGGATAGTGATGCTGGGTTTCAAAATGTCACAATCAGACGTAGAGATACTAAACGACCCCAAGTTAATAGTTTACCTCAGGCTAATAAAATTAAACATAAAAAAACTAATATCTCCAGAGTGGTTGGAACCTTGGCTGACTCTGAGATTTTCAGTTCCAAATTAAAAGGTATTGAGAAGCGCTGTGTGCTTTATCTGGGAAAGATTGCTCCTTGCTTCAAAGAGGATGTTGAAGAACATCTATCTAACTTTAACATAGACTTTATTACTGTCAATCCTACTGGTTCAAAGAAAATTTCTAATATATCTGCTAAAGTTTCTGAGAATTCAAAGAAACTTTGTGATAATTCCTCTAATATTACTGTTGATCCTAATGGTACAATCAAAACTTCTGATCAATCTTCTGAAAACTCATCTGTTTTAAGCTCTGCTTTCAAAATCTGTATACTGGAAAGTCAGAAAGATAAATTTTTCAACTCAGATATATGGCCTCGTCATGCTATTGTCAGAGACTGGATTTTTAAAACCAAGGACAACAATTCTGTTAATCATGGCTGATCTAAATTTACTTAATAAAATATGTTGCCCAGTGTTTATTAACAGTTGCTACAATTTTAAGTTGGACACTTTAAAGGATGATTTATGCAATTTGTATGGAGATATTGATGACTATACATTTAGTACCCTTCTTTCATTCATATATGCTAAAATAATGCTTGTGTGTTTTATATATGTACAGAGCTGAACATTTATATATCTATTATTTTGATTACTTCAGTATATGTATTCATATGTGCTTATGTGTTTATGTATGTACTAAAATGAACATTTATATATCTATTGCTTTTATTACATCAGTATATATATTCATGCATACTTATGTGTTTATATATGTAGAAAAACGAAGATCCACATATCTATTACTTTTAGTACATCAGTCTATGTATTCAAACGTGATTTTGTTTTTAAATTGCATATCGTATCACGGTGGTCTGTACAAGTTTTGATTTTCTTATGGGATCTCCGTAAATCCTCACAATCTCAAATTTTCATTTTGTGTTTCGGATTTAAATAAATTCAATTTTCATGATGATAATTTAATTTTCAACTAATTGAAAAATTTCTAGAATTTTCTAGTTAGGAAAATTGAAAAGACAAACTTTAAATTGATTAATCCTAACAATTCGGTAAAATTGTTAGTATTATATATATATATATATATATATATATATATATATATATATATATATATATATTTAGGAACGAGGTTTTCAGAAATACAAAGAACTACTCTTTCTAGAAGACTCACCATGCATACACAGAATGGTGCCATTAAGGACCATATGGAACAGGTACATCATCAACCGCTTACGAGGAACATATTGGATCCCAACACAACGATCCTTGATTATGAACCTGATCCAGTTCGCCTCAAAATTAAAGAAGCCCTTCATATCAACAAGCATAAACCCTCACTCAATAAACAATATAACAGCTTTAATCACACTTTGCAATTATTTTCTCAATACCACGATCTCACACCTACTGTTGCCGTTGGGGTTAATCCACAGGATCTGCGTGTACCACAACGATATGAATATCATTCTACGTTGAATACATTTCAACCCATTAACACGCAGTTTGTGACCCAGCGTCATCCGACAACTGTCATTGCGTCGTTGGATGTATTATGTGATACTTAATATTTGATCTATACATCGATATGTATCTTGCATGTACATATATGTATTTATATTTAACTATGTATACGTAGGTCTGATGTGGAAACTCGTATCACACATATTCAACCGCAATAGTTGTATTCACAACGCATACACAGCAATATTATATATCTTGCGCACATGTCATTCGTAGTTAGTTTTCACCAACGTTTTTTCAACCATGTTAAAACTATTATAAAATTTCTATATTTTAATTATTTTACTAAACATTTTATTTAAATTACATTATTTTATTTATATAATCTACATAAACTTTAGTTATTATGATATTTACAACAAGGTTAATTTATTTCACAATTTAATACATATTTTATTTTCTATATTTTCACATTTTACATTAGACATTTATTTTAATTAAATTATATGTTTAAACAATATTTAGGCTCTGAAGATGGCATTACGCCGAAACAGCGCTGTTAGCTTTATTCCAGTTTTAGATAAATATGAACTCAAACAATACCGCCCCGCTGAATGTCATATAAATAAGTTAATTAATGCAAAATGGGCAAACAATTTCAATGAAATTTGCATATATATATATATATATATATATATATATATATATATATATATATATATATAAGAATATTGTCCAGATATGAAATGTTATTTTTATTATTAGTAATATTATAATCATCATCAATATCATCATAACAATCGTATATATATATATATATCACCGCATTTTCCGCATTGTTGAGTTTGTAACTAAGTTTTTCAATTTTTCGAACAATTATTTTATCGATAATATTCAATTTATTTAAATCAATAATAAAATTTCTAATTATTTTAAACTGCATTTTTCATATATACATTCACATAAAAGCTTTTTTCGGTAACCTTTACCATCATCAGCGTAATAGAGTTTGTGATATCGTTATATAAAGTTCATCTGGTATTTATAGTATTTTTAACAAAGTTCCATTGTTTTTTTGTTTAAGTAATTTTTTTGTTGGTAGGACCGTTACAGCCTGTTGTTGGATGTTTATTATAGGGTTTCCATTTTCTATTAATGAAGCCTCTGCCATTCTCAAATTGATTATATTATGGTTGTAAAATAACACTTTTGTAATTGAGTTTAATATTTCCCTTGTTATTTTTAATTGGTGTGAATCCATTAGATGATTTTTTATTGCACCATTTTGTGTATGCATTGTTAACCTTCTTGATAAAGTCGTAGTAATAAATTCGATATATTCTGTGTTTCGGTGCCTACAACCACCGATTTTACAATCAAAAGACTTTACTAAATGACTTCATTATCGATTCTGGTTTAATATTGCAATTATTTTTAAGAACAAGAGATAAAGTTTTGCTGTTCGTTTAATAAATCATAAGTTTTAAAAACTCCGACTTATTACAACAATAAAAAGACGTCTCACCTAATACCGAAAAACAACTGTAGTCCTAGAGATAACTCTGTGTTAAAGCGTAATCACGTAATATATAAATTTAATTGCCCCTTTGACGACTGTGCACGTCAACATGACTCATATATCGGGATTATTACTACCTCACTGACTAGAAGGCTTTCGATGCATAAACAGAGTGGTGCTATCAAATCTCATTTGGACTCAACACACTCAATCACTATTAGCCGTGAAATCCTCGACAGCAAAATCAAAGTAATATACCAGAACAGCAACTACACGCATCTTAAAATTGCAGAAGCAGTCCTTATTGACATCAATAAACCAAAAATAAATATACAACAAAAATTGACAACCACACTCCCAACCCGGCGCTTAATCAACAATGAAAATAAAGAAGTAATAAAAACTAGCATTGTAAATATTGACAGAGAAGAATATGATGCTATCGATGAAGAAAAGGAAACTGTTAGTACGAACTTTTGCTACTAACAAGACACCTTGTTGTGAGTTAAAATAAATAAAACAAACACAATTCAGGCGTAATAAAATGTTATCTTTATTCCCACGTGAATCTCGAACCGTTTCGTTTACAAGCTATCAGGAAAAGGAAGAAGTCGAGAGAGAAGCAAAGATAATAAAAATTAACATAGATTAAGTAACATTGAAGTTGCAATAATCTTTAATAATAATTAATACATAAGATAGTTAATAAATGAATGTTTGATCCCTACAATACTCCCCCACAAAAGGCGGAGCCGTTTAAAAATAAAAATATTCATTTCGTTTGTTGAATGTTATTCGTCTCCCTTTTCTGGAGTGTTGGGTTGTTGGTTCCGATGTGGTTGAAGTCGGCCTTGTTTCTTATGTTGTTGTTGCGCCTGATGTTGTTGCCGTTTCTGGTGTTTCAGTAGATTTTGTGTCTTATGTTGCTGGTTTTGTTGAATCTGTTGTAGAAAGTTTGTTGTTTGTTGTCGAACAATTCTTGTTGTTTATTCTGGTTTTGGCTGTTAGAGGTAATGATAAACAAGCTGGCTTTAATCGATCAATTGACACATTTTGAAAATTTCCTGGTAACAATTCAATTTTAAAGTATTTATCGTTACGTTCAATCACTTTGAAAGGGCCTGTATATGGTGCTTCCAGTGGACGACGTACTCAATCTACTCTTAACCATACGTGACTACTGTTTGAAAGGTCATTTGGTACGAAAGCCTTTGGGGTAGAGTGATGTTGATTGTTAGTTGTTAGGTAGTCATTAAGTTTAAACATTTTTTTTGCTAGTTGTTTGATTTGACTAGATGTTATATCTTCATTTGAATCTGGGAATAAAAATCGACTTGGTAATAATAAGTTGGTTCCTGTTACTGCTATTGCTGGAGATATTTCATTTTCACAATAATCCCTCGCATGAGGCGGAGCCATTTAAATGGAAAAATGTTTGTTTTTTGAGTTGAATTTGATTTTTCCACTATTCTTTGAAGATGTGGTTGTTGGTACTGATATCGCTGGCGTTTAACTTGTTTCTCGTAATGATGTTGCTTTTGTCGCTGATAATTTGGTTGACATTTATCTTGTTTCATGAGATGTTGATGATGGCGTTGTTGCTGAAAACGCGGTTGTCGTTTTTGTTGCTGGTTCAAATTTTGTTCTGGCCTCTCATGCAACCTTCTGTCCAGCTGCAAACGATTTCTAGAATGAGATGTATGTGAGGACGATGAACTATGCTCTGTTTTTCTCTTTCTGTGATGATCTTGTTGCTGCTGCTGTTGAACAGGAGAAGGAAGAGAGAGAACTGGAAGGAGAGAATCGTTCATGTGTGAATTTGCTGATGGGGTGGTAACATTCTGCTCGGCATTTTACTGTTGCGATTGTTGGATGTCATTTTCATCTTTGTTCTTGCTCAGGACAACTATTATTTTATTGAACTTTTCTGGTAGCTGCCTCTCTTCAATTTTGTTTACATTCATCAGATTCAAGTTTATTTTAAAAGATTCTTTTTCTTGGAATTGCTCTGGTTTGGTTTGTTTGAACGTTGATAATAACTCTGCTTTTAGAGCGTCGTAATCTGTTCCTCTTTGCACTTTTAATGACAAATTTGAGACTATATCCAACGGCAGGGAAATTATTACGTGATAGAATCTTGTTGTTCTACACATCACGTTTCGCAAGTGAAATTGCATTTCGAAATTCTCGAACCAATCTGTTGACGCTGTTTTCTTGAAAAGAGGTAATATGGCGATCGGGTCATCATTTGGTTGGAACATTGTTTTCGTTTTGATCTTACCACGTGGATCTTCGTATTTCTTTTTAGGTCGGATTTTCGTTCAAATCACGTCAGATTTTCGTTCAGATCATGTCGGGGGTCACCAATTTGTTGGTACGAACTTATGCTACTAACAAGACACCTTGTTGTGAGTTAAAATAAATAAAACAAAAACAATTCAGGCGTAATAAAATATTATCTTTATTCCCACGTGAACCTCGAACCGTTTCGTTTACAAGCTATCAGGAAAAAGGAAGAAGTCGAGAGAGAAGCAAAGACAATAAAAATTAACATAGATTAAGTAACATTGAAATTGCAATAATCTTTAATAATAATTAATACATAAGATAGTTAATTAATGAATGTTTGATCTCTACAAAACCAACGAAGATGGACCAGCCAATAAAGAAACCTGACACCTAATTTCCATTTAAGTTCACTTTGAAAAAGTGAATATTTCCCTATATAAACTATTTCGCACTAATGATGATTCATTCGGAATCGAAATATGGCCTTATTTGCAGCATGAATTCGGAAAATAAGTTTATTTTGAATTTTAATAAACTAAACGTTCACCAAAAAACTTTAGTGAGAAAAATCGAAAAAACGAACTACAAACATATTAACGCCAAACATTCGGTAGAATTTATAGAATATTGTAAATATATATATATATATATATATACACATATATATACATATATATATATATATATATATATATATATATTTGCGTGTGTGTGATTTTTTTTTTTTTTTTTGTTAACTTCAACGGCGTTTCAGCTCCCACAATGGGGTTATGATGCGCCTTGTTGACCTTGACCTTTATTTAATAATTTCTTTCAGTAAATGTTTTTTAATTTTTTTTTATTAGTGACTTTTGTTATAAATTTTGTTTATATAACTCAAAACCGCTACCATCGGTCAAAAAAATCCCAGTTCAGGCACCCCGACGCACCAGCCCAGTTCATCCATTTCACATCACTAAGAATATGTAATACATAACATTTTATTTGTAGATTAACTTTATCCCGGTCGATGTATCCTATCCAAAGTAAAAACTTGCACCCTGTCAGCCATATCTAACTCGCCATCACTCGATGTCACATACCGCACATGCACCAGACAATGCAATTACTGCTTATGTTACTTCTTTCCCCTCGGAAAATTGAATCCCCGTTACAGGGGTCAACTATGGCATCCGATCGACATGCTTCTGAGAATTCTGTTACTAATTTCTATTTTGGCAAGTGAGCTTTCACAATGGGGGTTCACCTATAGCAGACGCTCGACATGTTTCAAAAGTTTTTTTAAATGCTAATTTCTCTTCGGCAATCAAGCCTCCACCCCTGGGTTCACCCACACTAGACGCTCAACATGCCCCGATAATTCTTTCTATTCTCCTTCAGACATTTGAACCACCACCATTCGGGGTTCACCCACAACCGACGCTCGTCTTGCTCCAAGGGTTTTCTTCCATGCTTCTACTTGTTTCCTCCTCAGCAATTAAGCCTCCACCGTTGGGTTCACCCACAGCAGCTGCTCAATGCACTCCGAAAAATCTCTATTCTCTTTAGGAATTTGAACCACAACCATGGGGTTCACCTACTGTAGCCGTTCGACACGCCCCAAAGGGTGTTCTTCGTTGCTAAAAATTCTTTTTTCCTTTTTCTCATTTAAGCCTCCACCATGGGGTTCGACCACAGCAGACGCCTAAAATTATATGAGGATTCTTTTGATTCTCCCAGGCATTCGAGCCACAATCACGGAGTTCACTCCCGAGGAATTTCTATTTTCCTCTTTCGCATTTAAGTCCCCACCATGGGGTTCACCAACAGCAGACGATCGATATGCCTTGAGGAATATCGTTGTTTCTTCTAATTATCTCTTTAGCAAACGAGCTTCCACCGCGGAATCCATCCTCACATAACGGACACTCAATACGCCGCTGGAGTTCTCTAATGCATATACGAATTGATCTGAATAGGGATGAATATTTGGTTTAACTATTTAACTTACATGCAAGATGCGCGGGATGCAAGTCATCATCAAAGTCATAAAAAAAAAATAAATAAAAAAACTAAGAAAATTTAAAATTAAAAAATATAGAAATAAATAAAAATAAATTAATAATTAAATAAAAATAATAAATATTAAATAAAAAAAATAAAATAAAAAATAAAATAAATATATATATATATATATATATACATAAAAAATTAAAAAGATTAAATAAAAAAATTAAAAATTAAATAAAAACAGTTTCTGCGTCTGTCAGATTCTGATTTTTAAAGAATATTAATAAAAAAAATAAAAAAATAATAAATAACTAAAAAATTTAACAATATTTACGTCAACCTGAAAAGTCGATCGCACCAATGCCCCAACTATACCCAACCGAAATTTTCCGATCCGGTGATATAGCTCCCAGATCATATTCATTTAATATTTTATATATATATATATATATATAATGATTTTCCATCTTTACTATAATATGGATTCCAAGTCAATTAGGAATGGTAGGCAATGAAAGGGTGGATGTATTAGCATTGAAATCACACCAAAATCCGATTAAAAATATAGCAATTCCGCATTTTTACTTAAAACCGCACATATCAAAATATCTCATTTATTTCATTAATTCTCAATATTTCATTAATTAAAATTATTGAGATTAACATTGATTGATTATAAAGATTAATTAACATTAATTAATTGTAAAGAACTGCTAAAAATATCAAGACATTAATGTCTTGATATTTTTTAGCAGTTCATTTAATAAGTTAACAGCAGTGCCTGCCTATTTATGTTTTTGGTTCACGCGTTCATAAGCAAGGCTTAATGTTTCTCTCGTACAAACATTTAACGTGAGCGGGAGCTGTGAATTTTTAGTTGATATTAATTAAAAATCATTAAATGAAATAAATTAAAAAAATTTTCAATTAAAATCTTTTTACTATTTACAATTTCATACATCCATGCGTAAGATCACTGTGAGTTTGTAAGCAACGTAGAAAGTAAAATCATGTGAAAACAGTGGTGTGGTAATGAAAGAATGACGATTTTTTTATTATAAATCTTTAAAAGATACATTTATTCACGAAGCTCGGCGTTTAAATATATAATATTGATTATAATGATAGAATCAATTAATAAAACGGACGCGAAATGAACATCATCAAAATAATCAGGAATTTAAATAAAATTGGAACATGAATTAAAACACAGAGAATATCACAAAAACTAAGAAATTACAAAATAAATTGTTAACTCTTGCGTTAATGGAACATTGTAAAGATAAAAAATACAACTCACCATGTTTTCTTCGACATGAACTAATCCGTTAGATAACAAATTTGCTACTACTTACTGCATTTCGATTATATAAATACACACATATACACACACAAATGCACATACGCATACTCACACTACACACACACACATACACACACACAAACAAATATATATATATATATATATATATATATATATATATATATATATATATATATATATATATATATATGATAGGCATATAAGCACGGATAAGTTCAATATGGATATAGGGTATCTATTCGTTTATAATAATGTAAAAATGGAAACGTTTTGTTGGTGCTTCTTCCTTGATAAATAACCTAACCACGTATGTTAATAAATCGCTAAATACATACAAACATATTTGTGTAAAAATAATACATATTTTATTATAAACTTTAGAAATAGGTGTGTGGTATTTTCGGTCCTCCGAAAACCGGTAAAAAAAATGTTATATCAATATGCATATATATATATATATATATATATATATATATATATATTAAAAAATATCACTGCATCTTAAGCTTTGAATAGATTTTGGCTCGGTTTTTTAATAAATCGTACCGTATTTTTTTTATTATTGTTTTATTTTTAACTTATATAGAAAACACAAACACACGGCAACACACACACACACACAAACACACACACACACAAACACACACGCACACACACACACATATATATATATAAATCTATGAATGTTGGAAGGAGACCATATTTTATACAGTATTGTATGAATTCGGTATGCCAACAATTCGGTAGAATTCATATAATACTGTATATATATATGAATATATATATTTTTTACAATATTCTATAAATTCTATCGAATGTTTTGCGTTAATATGTTTGTAGTTCGTTTTTTCGATTTTTCTAACTAAAGTTTTTTGAAGAACGTTAAGTTGATTAAAATTCTAAATAAACTTATTTTCCGAATTCATGCTGCAAATAAGGCCATATTTCGATTCGGAATAAATCATCATCAGCGCAAGTTGATTTATATATATATATATATATATATATATATATACGGTTGCAGTTATTGTAAATTTCTTTATCGTTTTACCCTAATAATTCATAATATATATATATATATATATATATATATATTTATTTATTTATTTATTGAGAGAAAAATTATTATTGATATTATTGAGCTTGGCTGACAGTACTGTTTCGGAGTTAACCATCGTCGGAGCCTATTAGATCAAAAAACACATAGCCAGAAATGTAAAATTTGAAGTAAAATATTAAGTTATTATTTCGTTTCTCAGTTATCGTAATTTTATTATCTTGTTAATTTCACTTATATTTCCTTATATATATATATATATATATATATATATATATATATATATATATATAACGTCATTAATTTTCGAAGGTTACT